TCTGTCCATCTGTCTGTCTCTGGTTCTAGTGACTGGAGTGGGCCTTGCACATGCTAAGTAGCTACTTTGCCAAAGAGCTACATCCCCAGTCCTATGCAGGTGGTTTAACCTATGTTGTGAAAGGGATAATGATAACCTACTTATCTCATAGACATTAAATAAGCAGAAAAACAAACTAATGTACATGAAAATTCTCTGGAAAATTGTAAAACCAAATACAAATGTGAATTTAAGGCTGACCCGTGGTCACACAGTGAGACCCTTATGTTCCTAGGGGCCTGTAATTTCTCGACCCTTTATTACTGGCTCCAATCCTGGAGGAAGAACCTCTTTTTCTTTTGCACATCATTTGAAAAGAAGAGCCAAAACCTGTGACTTTGATTTTTTTTTTCTCCTAGCATGTGGCCAGAGAAAGCCTTTTGTCGGCTAGTTGGGAGTTTGCACCCTTAAAAGAGGAAATCTGAATTCTACCTGAGTGAAGGATGGGAGGACCGGAAGAACAGGAAATCCTGTGATCTCCTTCCTGGTTTTCAAGGGAACCAAAGACAATAATCACCTCCTAGAGCATTGGAGGGAAGAAGGCTGGTTGTAGGGGAGGCTTCAGCTGCTTAAAACCTATCTGTAGCGGCAAATGCTGCAGCAGAAGCCACACTGCTTTTTGCAGACCTAAGAGATGGCAGATGAAGGATCTTGCCACCCTGGAGATGTCTCTTTATAAAGTTTCCTTGGCCTAGAGATTGCTACCTCCTGCTTTTTTTGTCCTGTGTCATAGAGGTCTTTTCTGGAGAGGTCTCCCAAGCCAGTGTCATCCCCATAACAGGCCTGGGTAAAAACCTTGAGAGCATTGAACTTTCCCATCATAGGCCTTCATCAATGGGATGTTGATTCATCATTGCGACTGCTTTCTGTTGTGCCCTCACCCCTCTCTGATAAGCTCCCAGAGGACAGAGAAGGGTTTGATTTCATAACCCGGAGTGGGACGGAGTGTCTAGCTCAGAGAAGGGCCCACATTAAATATTTACTGAGTAGTGATGGAAGAAATATGATAAAATTTAAAAAAAAAAAAGCCTCCAATGCAGACCATCTCAGGTCACAAATCATTTCTAGGAAGGCATATTTATGCAAATATACATAAAATCCTTAATTAACTATTATTCAGGGAGGACTTATTACAAGGGAAGGGACTCCACAAAAGGGGGTATTTAATAAATCAATTACAGCAATGTAATATTAATAGGTAGGACCAGGCTGCATATGCTAAGAGCTTCTTACAGACCGGATCGTTGACACTTCCTAACTGCCCATGCCTAGACATTTTGAAAAAGGGACATGAAAAAATTAGTGTTTTTGTGTCTCTGGCCTGAAGACAAGAGCCCCTTGTCAGCAGACAGAAGGGAGGAAATGTGTCCTTCTGCCCCAATGTGATGTGCTGGAAGGGGTTTCATGCTTGGATACACTTGGTTTGTCTCAAACTATCAGGACAGCTTCCAGGAACACGTATACCACTGTGAGTAGCTCAGTTCATGTTCTTAATTTAAGTGTGAGTGTGTGTGTGTGTGTGTGTGCCTGTTTGTGTGCACATGCATTTGTAAGTATACATGTGTGTGTACGCATGTGTAAGCCATAGGTTGACATCAAGTGTCTTCCCTGGTAGTTTGCCACATTATTTTGGAGAGTCTTTTGTTAAACCCAGAGCTCACTAATTAGGCTACGCAGCTGCCTAGCAAACCGTGGGCTCTGCCTTCCTCCACCTCCTCAGACATGTGCTGTGCCACCTAGCTTTTTACATGGCTGCCGGGGATCCAAACTCAGTTTCTCATGCTCTCACAGGAATAATTTCACCAACTGAGTCATCTCCCCAGCCCATAATGTTCTTAGTTTTTAGCAAGCTACATTCCAACACACCCAAGGCAGCCACCGTCTTGGGGTTTCTATTGCTGGGAAGAGACACTGCAACCATGTAAACTCTTATAAGAAGAATATTTAATTGAGGGGCTCACTTAAAGTTTCAGAGGTTCCGTTCATGATCATCACACCGACGAGCATGGCGGTGTGCAGGTAGATGAGGTCCCGGAGGAGCTTAGAGTCCTACCTCTTGCAGGCAACGGGAAGTGGACTCAATCACACCGAGCAAAGCTTGAGCCAAAGAGACCTCAAAGCCCAACCCCGTAGTGACGTACTTCCTTCAACAAGACCACACCTCCTCCACCAAGACCACACCTCCTAATAGTGCCACTTCCTGTGAGTTTATGAGGCCCAGTTCCATTCAATCCACCACAGTCATCTTTCGCTATCTGTTCTCCCCCTTCTCCTATGCGCTGAGTAACACAATCGGGTGCAAACCGTAACAAGATGTACTCTTTCCTACGGACCGTGTAATTAACTTCTGTCTTCCTCCCTAAACGGCTTGCTCTAGTTATACGTTAGACACACTTTTAAAAAAAAAAAAAAGAATCTGAGTAATGAACAATGTTCTTGTGAGACTTTACAGGTGCTAGGATTTCTTTTCTTCCCTTGAGAGGGTTGCACGCGATAAATTACACCGCAAATAACAAGGGACGGACTAAGAGAGTGAGCGCTGAGAGACTAAAGAGGCAGCAGCTCCTGTAGAGGGGTCTCATGGATGGCGCTTTGGGGCCGATCAGTTTGGAAAGCAAAAATAAGAACTCCATGCCACACTCACTTCCCAGGGTTCATTCTTTGCTTTCGTGTAAGCGAGGCCTCTCAATGTTTTATTGTATGCCAGGCCCTGTGTTCTTTAACTGTGCCCTAAAATTCTGCAGACAAATTCTAACTCATTAAAAGAAGACAGAAACAATTTATGCTGTTGTTTAGGAACCAGGGAGATGGCTCAAACTGTAAAGTGTCTGCTGACCAGGCCAGAGACGTGAATTTGATTCCTGGGACCTACATGGGTGAAGGAGAGAATAGACCCCTTCCCCCAAAAAACTATATAAAACATACCCCTTCCCCTAAAATAAATATATAAAATGTAACTTAAAATTTAATGCTTTTGTTTTAAATCAACACCAAGCAGCCACCCTCCTTCCTCATCAGCCACACAACTCCCAGCACCTGCTCCTTCTGCCATTGCTTCTGCTATGCCCAGCAGAAATCCCTAGACCTCGGATTCTAAAAGCCTAGAGGGACAACTTGCATTCCTCTCATTTTGTACTCCCCGTCCATCTCAAGCCAGAGGTTTCCCTTAGCCCTGAGACTATCTGAACTGCACCAGTTTTGTTTTTGTTTTGGGAAAGGCACAAAGAAGGAAGACATTCGGCATTTGTTCTCTCCGTGAATCTCGTCCTGGCTCTGTTCAGTTGAAAGCGGTATGCAGAACTGGGGTCACTCCATTCTTGGGAGGTATTGGTTTTTTAAATGTATTTTTATCAATTATGGTGAGCATCTAGCAGGGCTCCCTGAATACAGAATACACAGTATACATTTTCAGTGTCAATTCGGCAAGAGGACGGGGAACAGAAACCAGCACAACCGGAGGTGACTCAGAACAAACCTCTTCCATCTCCCTGCCTGGCTATAGTTTGAGCTAAGCTTTACAGACTAGTTCAGTACTCCCCGTGGAGTATGGCCTGAGAAATGCTTTGACTTCACAAAAGCAAAAAAAAAAAAAAAAAAAACCCTGTGCTCAAGGACACACTCTTGTCTTAATGACACTTAGACACTTCTCCCGGAAGAGAAAGCATCATTATGGAGTTGAAGCAAAGCAAGGTGTTCCCACCAAAAGAAGTTCTAGAAAAGTCTTCCTGTAGGCAGGGCCGCGGCCCATCTCCATCGACCCGGCCCCTACCCATCCCAGTCTTGGTTTGTTTCTCTTTTCAGGAGAGAAAGCTTGGGTCAGAGCTAAGTCTGTACGGTCTTGCTCTGTTCTTTGACTTTTTCTTTTTTCGCACAACGACCTTGAAATTCCCCCGCATTAGTGTTTTCTCTTCACGGAGTCCTTCCTGCGTAAGTGTTGTCTTTTTTATACTGCCTCCATCAAAGTGGCTTCTTCAGGGCGATCCACCACCCTACCGATGTGCCCCATGGGTCTGGGTGCCCTGAGACTTTCCCAGCGGTTGGTGGCACTAAGGCAAACTGATCCAAGTACTAAGTGGAAACGCTCTGACATCCTTTAAAGTCAGACTTTACAAACACGGAATAACCTTGAAAAAGACCTTCACGTTCTGCTCAGGAACTTGGCCAGCCGCTTACCGCTCCCCTCCGGATTAGTTATTTATGCTGCAGGAGAGGGCTCTTTGCACCTTGCAGCTCAAATCCCTGCCCTCCAGTCTGGGCATGGCGGAGCGGAGGGCTGGGTCAAGTAAGCCTCTGAGAAACAAGGGTCTTCTCCCTTCTCCTTAGCGAGCTGGGCTCACCTCCACAGAGTGCTTCTCTGTCCCTCTGGGGCTACTTCTGTGGCTGTAACTTGAACCTCTCCGAAGAATTCTTACCTGTTCTGGAGTTTCTTAGGGTCCCGGCTCCCCAACAACCTGGACCTACCTGCCATCCAGCAGTTCCCACCCCGGAACCCTAGGGCAGCAATCGGGCTGCACTGGCCATTAATGGCCATCATCCATTTTTAATCAGAAAGATCTCAAGAAAGACGGTAAGCGAAACCCGGTCGCGAGTCAATTTAAATAATATTCCTGGGGAAATCCAATCACTTAAAACTGAGACACCTACGCTAGTGAGAGAGCGCCCCGCCCGTCTGGCGGGGAAGAGCGCGCCGGCTGAATTAATCAAGATCAAGGGGCTCCCGAGCAGAGAGCTCACTCCGCCTTAACCCTTCCAGCGCCGCGGGGTGCCCCGGTGCCTGAGGAAGAGCGCGGCGGGGGACCGCCGAGATGCCCAGAGCAACCCCGCACAGGCCATCTCTGCTGATCCCCGCGACTCCGCACGCTTCGCCCGGGACCCCAGCGCCCCGGCAGCTCGGCACCCCAACTCGAGGTCACGGGAGAGCTCCCGAGGTGGCTTCGGCAGTGAGCAACAGCCGCCTCCCGCAGCCTCAGCGAGCCCCGGGCTCCTCCTCCCGCCCCAGCGTGGCCAAGTGAGCACCGCTCGGGTCGCAGGTAGCCGGGGCACGGGAGGTGGCGCGCGCGGGACCCGTCGCAGCGCCCAGCCGCGCTGCCAGACGAAGCTCCGATCCTCGCGGTCCCGGACGCCGGCGGAGATCTCTGCACCGGCCATGTGGGGCCCGGGGGTCACGGCCGAGGGCCTGTCGATGGCTCCAGCGCCACCGCCACTGCTACCGCTGCTACTGCTGCTCGCGCTGGCGCTAGTGGCGCCCTCGCGGGGCGGCGGGGGCTGCGCGGAGCTGGCGTGCGGCGAGCGGGAGCGCTGCTGCGACTCGGCCAACGCCACGGCCGTGCGCTGCTGCAAGCTACCGCTCCACGCCTTCCTGGACAACGTGGGCTGGTTCGTCCGCAAGCTTTCTGGGCTGCTCATCCTGCTGGTGCTCTTCGCCATCGGCTACTTCCTGCAGCGCATCATCTGTCCCAGCCCACGCAGGTACCCGCGTGGCCAGGCTCGTCCTGGCCAGGCACGACCCGGGCCTGCCGGGGGATCCGGGCCGCCGGGGACCGCGGGGCCACCCGACGACGACGACGACTCGCCTGCTCTGTTGCGCGATGAAGTGGCCGCGGGTTCGCAGGACTCACTGCTGGACAGTGGCGGCGGCCGGGGCCGAGGAGGTGGGGGACGTCTGCCTCCTGCCTGTGTTTCCGAGCACGAGCTGCGAGTGGTGTCGCCGGTCTTCCTTCAGCTGCCCAGCTACGAGGAGGTCAAATACCTACCCACCTATGAGGAGTCCATGCGGCTGCAGCAGCTCAACCCTGCGGAGGTCGTTTTGCCCGTGTCGGTGCTTGGGCATCCGCAAGGCGATAGTGCCGGCGACCCCGACGGCGACCAGGGCCGCTTCCCGCTCATCTGAACGCCCGGAGCCTCACAGAGATCAACGGGATCGTACGAGGCTGGGGGCTGCGTGTGGCACGCAACAGCTGGTGTGTTGGCGGTCGCCCCTGGCTGCCTCTGACCATACCTAGTATCCCCGCACAACCTGTAGCCCCGCGCCTGGGTTGGGGTCAGTCCCCTCCCTCTCGCTCCCTGGGGATCCTGTGTTTTTCTATGTTTCTTTGGACTCAAGGTTGGCAGCTCGGCGAGGGCACCGGCTTTGGACCAGCTAGCAGCTCCTCCTGGACACCCGTCCCCGCCCTCTGCCAATGCCTCCCCTTGTGTTCACTGTAAGTGCCTGCTTCTCCAATCCAAAAGAACACGTTAACCTTTGGTGTGTCTATAGACCCGCGGCTTGCTTTATGTCCGAAAAGGAAGGAGCGCAGGTCCATTCCTTGCCCTCCTGCTTGGATGGGTCCCAGTCTCCCCAGACTGGAAGGTGAGGCCTTTGGCTCTGGGCCACGACCAGTGACTGCTGCATGTGGGTTTGTGGAGGCAGCGCTTGGCTGTGATGGGATCCCTTTCTTGAGAAAGACCCCAGAAAACCCTTTGGTGTCTTCCTAGCCAATCAAATAGTCACTGCTGATGGCGCACAGTTAAGTGGGGGGAGGGATATCGTCATGGATAAGAGGTTTAGTTGCAGCAAGATGTAGCAACTAATTAATCCAGACCGGATTTGTAATCTGGTACGATGAATTTTGGGGTTTTGTCAGTAAGGTGTTTGTCTTTTATTTTTATATTTTGTCATGCACTGAACACATCGGGAAGGTAGTTCAACAAATTGGCAGGGTAATCACTGTTCTGTTTTAGACCCGTAACCATCAAGAAGTCGCCCACAATCTGCCATTGCTTAATACGGTGTTGGACATTATTTCATTAAAGGTGTGGGGGATGGTCAAACAGGAAATGTGACATAAAACATGAAGGATATCTTATTTTCACTATTTGAGAATATAGTTTATTTTTAGTACCAAAGCATAATACATAACTTTTATAATAACTGTGTACATTGTGTAGTCTGGGTCTTAACTGTATCATGGAAGTATGTGTAAAAAGGCCATTGGAACATGTATGACACACCATGGAGCAAGATGGCTTGCCAGTATGTCCTTCTCTATGTTTCGTTTAGGATGCATTCTGCAACGTGATTCCAAACATAAGAAACAGAATTGTAACTTTTGTTTAGACCTGTAACTTTGCAGTAATGTGCAAAGAAGAATTTGCCCAACCTATCTTTATTAAAAAAAATGAAGCAGTATCATTTTACTAGTTCTGGGATATCCCCTTTAAGTAATAAGACACATTTTAACGCATCATATAGTGTACATATGGAATCATCAGTGTACAACGTATACATTGTATGCCACGTAACTATCACAGCGTACGGCTAGCATGAGTGGAAGGGGTGGAAAGGAATGCCAGCCACTTTCCCTGGAGAAGTGTGAACAGCACCAATTGTCAAGAGAGATTATTCACTGGGTCTATGAAGAAGCCGAGCAGGCCTAGAAAATCTTCAAGTGTCTGATTTGTATTTTAAAAAAAAAAGATTTGATTACTTTTAACTTTTAAAGACTGATTGAAAATGTCTGACGTCCTGGGAAATATTTTTAATGTATGAATTATAATAAAATGATGGTTTGCTTTAAACTCCTCAAAGCTAATGACCCTATTATTGAAGAAAACCATCTGAGTGCATTAAAACAGAAAAAAAAAACACTAACATATTTCTCTGTGTATTTTTTCTTCTTTTTTTAAAGACAGGATCTCAGTTTGTAAACCAGGTTGATCTGGGACTCACTCGCTCTACAATCCAGGCTGGTCTCGACTGTGCCTCAGTCTTTGATGCCCCTGCCTCCCAAGTCCTGAGATTGTAGGTGTGGGCCACCATAACTGGCTCTTCGTACAATTTTATTTAGTGTATGACTATAGAGTAACATATTAAAATATGAAATATGTATCTCTTGTTTAAAAGTAATTTTAAACTGTTAACTGACAGACAAAAAGCATTAGGTGTTATGATTCTACAAGATTTAATCAAACATAATTACACTGCGTTATATAGTTATGTTACTCAGAAGTAGAAAATTTGTGTTACATGTGGCTATCCATACAATTAATACCAAAAAAAATGAGTTGAATTTTAGGCCATTTATATCTTGGCCAAATATATCCATGAGTGCTGTGTTTTCCAGAAAAGGCTCAGGCCTTTTCTTCTCATCAATAATAATAATTCCAAATATTACCGGTAGCTCATCTGGAATGCACAAGTCTACATGCTAGATAAACATGTATTACATACACATAATGTACATGGGTTAATCACTAGCTGTGTAAATGCAATTTGTTCTGGGAGTTCGAGAATCACAAGCAAAGGGTGAATGTCTTCTCGAGATACAATGAGTTTTAAAAAGCCATTAATCGCTACATCCAGCAAACGCTGGGTGCTCCAGCCGTGGGAAATGGCACTGGCGAGTCTGCCAAAGGGCATAAGGTGTGCTATATAAGGAAAAGGAGATTCAATTGTAAAGGCCAACGGGATTACGAAGGAAATGGCCTCCCTCAACGGTTTAAAAGGCCATATGCTAAGTACCTTGATGTCCTTTTTCCTATGCCGCTTCTCTCGAGAGGAATTAATAAGCAATTCGGAGCTGAAACTGATACATTATAAGCACAAAGATGATGTTCAGATCCATACAATATTCCGGAATGACTTTTCATAAGTTGAAAATAACTTGGACGTCCTTGTTGAGAGCAACGGGGATGTGCGTTGGATTTTGAGTAGCAAGCCTTAACCACCTCTCCAAAGTGACTCGAGAATCCCATTAGCAGTAGCACAAACAACCCTTCCTTTCATGCGGTCAATCACAGAGAAATTGTGGCACTTACTCCCTTTCAAAACACTATCAAAATCAGCTGTTAAATAAACCAGTACCTTGGTTATTCACAAAATCATATAGAACCAGATATTCTTTATATACTTTTACTTACAAAATTTACTTTTAATTTTGTCACAAAAATTACATTATGGCGGGGTAGGACACTTAGTGCATGTCAGTAACCCAAATAGTACCAGCATCCCCCTGAACTTAGTTAAATGGGGTTAAATATCCCCACTGTTCTGGTGTCTCGTACTTCCCTTGTCTCCCCTGTGTTCTTAGCTTGCTCTGAGCTGTCTCTAGAAGGCTTCTTTAGAGGCCCTTCCACAGGGTCCTCACCGCTGTGAGGGTCCAAAGGCACTCTGGTTACTACTGGGCCGTTTGTACAGAACTCTTACAAATCAGATTCTTTCTAGAATTTTCTTTGTCTACTCTTTGCATCTGACTTCTGTAGGCTTGTACTTTGAGCCAAGAGGTTTTTCCTCTTTATCCATTAAAGGGCTATCAACTTTTTTCCTCTTTGATTTTTATGTATAGAACGCTCTCTGCCACTCTGGGTAAATGGGGTCTTAGTGTTTCTAGCACAACGCACCCTGACATCTGTCTCTTTGTTGTCCCTCACCTAGGGATGGTGGAAAAGATGGTCAACCCTTCTCCCAATCTTGCTACAAATACACGTTCTTTGCTGTGTTGGGGGAAAGAATTTGATCTTTGCGTTTTCTTCATAACAGGGACCTTATTTTGCTTCCATACTATCAAACAGAGATATATGTATATTGCTTCTTCATAGACTGATGTATCTTTCTGCTCAGTTTTTCTCAGTCAGCTTTGTGGTTCCTTTGGTGCATACTGTTTTATGTAAGTAACAGTAAACCACCTTGGCTTGCCAATAGTCTATTTGTTGCACTGGAGAAAGGATCCCGTCCTCCTGTTTGTTATATGAAGCCTAGAGAGCTCCAAAGTAACTTGATTTAGGATGCTTGCTGTCTCTTGCACACTTCATCATGTTCTTCAGAAAGCTTTTCCGAGTATCTGTTTAATTGGCTAGACTAGAAATTACCCTTGCCTGTTTCCTATGCTTCTACATGATCTTACAATTTTAATAATCTCATTAAGATTTTATCTTTTGCCTCTTTGTTGGTCATATTTAGTTCATGAGATAATGGAATTAGAACCTTCCAGATATATTCATTTGTATTTTTCTTATCGACCAAAGATGTTACCAGATCAAAATTAATTTTGGTTATTTTTCTAGGTCTTAAAAGTGTCATCTCTTGAGTTGGGCAGTGCACGTCTTTAATCCCAGCACTTGGAAGGCAGAGGACCGCAGATTTCTGTGAGTTTGAGGCCAGCCTGGTCTACAAGTGCTAGTTCTAGGACAGGCTCCAAAAGCTACAAGGAAACCCTGTCTCAAAAAAATGAACAAGCTAGTGTCAATTCTTAATTTATAGGCTTAACTTTGATGCAAACTCTTTGTTTTAGTTTGCTTTCTATGGCTACAATAAACACCATAACCAAAGCAGTTTGGAGAGAAAGGGGTTTATTTGACTAGAAGTCCTATCCAGGTCACAGTCAGTCTCTGAGGTAAATAGGGACAGGAACTCAGGAGGAGTAGAGGTAAGAACCATGGAGGAAGGCTGCCTTCTGGCTTCTTCCTCGTGGCTCTCCTAGCTGGCTTTTTATACAGTGCAGGACCACCAGCCCAGGAGTGGGACCACCCACAGTGGGATAGCAATCATTAATAAAGAAAAATGCCCCCCACTGACTTGTTCACAGGCAATCCGTTTGATGAGAACAGTTTCTCAATTGAGGGTCCTTCTTCCCAGATGACCGTAGTGTATGTCAAGTTGATAAAAACAAACAAACAAACAAAGCAAGCTAGCCAGGACACTGTCCAGCAGACTGTCACATTCCTAGACACACAGGTCCAGTTAGACTAGCCGGCTGCCAGGAGAAAATAACTATTTTAGCTAAGAGATGGACTTGTAGAAATAGTATTCTTGTAAAGAAATTAGAAGATAAGCTCATTTACTCTTTTTTTGACTCATCCACACTTTCTACAGCTTACAATAGAATAGATACAGGGGTGTTTACAAAGAGCACATTCTAGATAAGACACCCTGAAAACAACATAAAATCTAAGGTGAAGGGAAGCATAGTTAGAAGGTTGGGGCCCACCTTGACTCTGGATGTTCTAGGTGGAAACACAAAGAAAGAATCCTATCTGCCAAAAGACTTAAAACACTGAACACATCAAATAAACCCAGATTGATATTTGAGGAGAATCACAGGGGACTAGAAACTGGGGGGGAGGGAAGCTTGTGGAGGTTCTCATAAAGAAGACACCGTCGAGTCAGGACTAACATGTGTAAAAATCTCTACAGTAAGCACATGATTGGGGCTTCTCAAAATTACATCCTCACTGCAGGCCAATGGCGTACCATGGGCACTGACCAAAGGGAAGCCATTTCTCAAGAGATGCAAATAACCCAGTCCTGAAGTTCTAACCCTGGATCCTTCAGCCCAACCAACAAACATATTCTATCATTATCTGAAAAGTGGGTAGCTGACACTAACTTTCAAATCCCTCCCCATAAACAATATTTCTCCCAACCTTCATAAAAGTCATATTTTGAGCCAGGCGGTAGAGGCAGGTGGATCGCTGTGAGTTTGAGGCCAATCTGATCTATAAGAGCTAGTTCCAGGACAGGCTCCAAAGATACAGTGTAACACTGTCTCAAAACAAACAAACAAACAAACAACAACAACAACATCATATTTTGTTGCCTTTTCAACACTTCCTGGAGAAAATGCATTTTTAAAATTCATTTGTGCCACTAAACTTTTGCTTTCTTTTCTATTTTAAAACAGGTCTCACTATAGAGATTAGGTTGACTTCATGCTGGTAATGCCCCTGCCTCAGCCTCCCCTGTGCTAGGATAGGCATGGGCCACCACACCTAGATACAGTCTAACTTTATGGTAGAAGTATGGAGCCTCTTGGTTTATGAATTCTGATTCACTGACTTCTTATAGAAGGAAATATATTTATTTGCTCACTGCAAATAGTTCTGCTACAACTCTGGTCAGCTTGAGGAAAAAAATATCCTTTGGGCAAATGTTTTAACTATTTTTGAAGTAATTTGTTTAAATTCTGTCTTTTGATTGTAATACTCCCAAAATGAAGATAAGCGTAGAGACTTTTTTTTTTTTTTTTTGGTTTTTTCGAGACAGAGTTTCTCTGTAGCTTTGGTGCCTGTCCCGGAACTAACTCTTGTAGACCAGGCTGGCCTCGAACTCCCAGAGATCCGCCTGCCTCTGCCTCCCAAATGCTGGGGCGCCACCACCGCCTGGCTCAAGCGTAGAGACATTTTATACTCACAAGAAAAAAGAATTCATTGCAAGTCATTTTCATTAAATTATATTGTTTTCCCATTGAAATTGCATAAAAGTTTTGTTTTGCTGTAGATTATTATAGTTCAAGTGAGTTTCAGAGAATCTGGAACGTGTGAGAATATCTGAAAACTCGAACTGCCTCAGACTATGTTGGAGTGTTTATGAAAGAATCAGCCTTAAAAGTTACTACACTTAAAATCGTGTGTGAAGGGTATGGTGAGCATGTGGCCCTGTCACAGGGCTGCACCTCTTAGGTGACAGTACACCAGCGGTTTGAGCCACATAGAGGGGACAAGTGAAGAAGCAGGCAGAATAAAAACGGCTTTGACAGAGGCCGTTAAAGGTTAGGTGCGTCACACACATCTTGGAGTCCGAATGGTCGTTTACCGGCATGCAGATGC